CGAAAGTCATCAAGGGTTGGTCCATTCGTTTGTATATTATCTCATCGCCATTACGTTCTTTTTTTGGCATCTCGCTTCTCTTTTTCTATTATGGAGCGTTTGAATTGAAGTGCAGCATAAGTTTTTCGAAAAAAGTCAGGTATTTTAGTAAAATACTGCAGTCTTCCACAGTTCATTTCTCGAGTGCTTAGTATGTTTCCTCACCGTAAAACAGTTGCACCAAACCTTCAATCATTCTGTTCTCCTAAATTTTCTGCTAACATATCTCAGCAAGAAGAAGTTCTCAATGAAGGCTTAGTGAACGTTGTTATCCCAGATAAACTGCACTAAATCTGTTTTTGAAGGTTTCTCGCAAACTTTATTTTGACATTCTCTGTCTACGATTTTTTCTGGATGAGCACTTTTTTGAAATGCCTTCACCACGCAGTTCTTTAGACGGCTTCTTCTCAACCTACATCCAAAGATGTTTGTCAAAGTTGACGAACTTCGAAGCTCCGACTCCACTGGGTTGAAATCTCAATACTGTGTGAACCTTTTGGATAGTTGCCAACAATTGTACGAAGCATCTTTGTTCATCTATCTTTCCAGACAAATACAGCGTAATCATGCAAATTATCTTGAAACTCGATAAAAGCTGGATGCAAAAGCCTACTTCAGCTAGAAAACAGTAAACTCTAAGTAAACCTCTTACAAATTCCCGAGTTTTGCTTCAAACATCAAAAATTCGTGGAGTAATTAAAAGAACGTCAGTGCGATCGTATCTGATTTTATTAGGATTAGTACTGTATGAATCTGTCGTTAGTATCTCAGCTACGAATAAGAGACAAGGTGGCATGCAAGTTGGTTTTACGTAAACTAAAGCACGCGAACGAGTTTTGACAGTAAAATTCCTTGAAGTAGAAGAGGAATTGTGACTCTCTCAAAAAGAATATTTTTGAAGAGATAGAGTGTTCAAATTTGAAAAGCTCTAGATTTGGTGGTTCCGATGTCAGCATTATATTTTCAAGAATATCAATTCGAAAAATCCAATTTCGGAAAGAGTCTGATCAAAGCTTTTGGGTGGAGGTTCTAAGGCAGTTTGCAGGGTCACCAATGTGGGAAACAGGGCCCCGGGTGGGAAGAGTGCACATGGCTGGGATTGCTTTGTCGGATTTGGGACGCGCTTCAGTCACCAAAATTTTTTTACTTAGGTTTTTAAGTGTGGAAGTTTGGGAACATCCGAGAATGTAGAATGGAGAACTCAGGCTAAGTCTGTCTCAATCGTGATCAGGCTGAACATTTCCAATAAGGCAGATTTGGGGGCAACTTTCAAAGCGTGAGTTAGAACTGAAGAGTGTGAGAATGCGAGAAGAATCGGTACTTCAGGAAACTTGATTAAGAAGCTACTGGGTGAAAAGGAGTGGAGGAGGGGGGGAGGGAATCCTCGAAAGACTAAGATAGCAAAACGCAAGATTATACAAGATTCGAGTATCTGTAAATTAAGTATCTGTAAATTCGTGTCTTTGCGAGCAAAGGAAGTGGCGGTGCGGTTAGAAAAGAAGCTGGGAGGGGAGCATTCATGATCCTGTTGCTAATTTTGATAAAAAATTTTCGGAACTTTCGAAAGCAGGAAAGATCAGTGACTTGGACAACTTCTGGGCCCTTACTGTTCAAATCCGTGCCATAGTTTCGGAGAGGAAAAGACTCGCTCCAAATCTTCAAAGGTTCCAAAGATAAGCTTCAGTCACGTTCTCACTTCACACACACAGCCAGTCCAAAGCGCCGCGAAGCGGCGCTTTGGACTGGTACTATATATAAAGCGCAAGCACCCCCATCTGACGTCGTCAGTCGGGCCAGAGGTGTAAACATGTATGTCGTTTTGCGCCGGTGCGAGCGTACCGAGCTGATGACTCACAATGGTAGTGATGGCTGTCTTGGACGATGTTGATCAAATGGCATAACCCAAAGAGCGATCACAATGGTAGTGATGCCTGTCTTAGACGATGTTGATCAAATGGCATAACCCAAAGAGCGATCACAATGGTAGTGATGCCTGTCTTGGACGATGTTGATCAAATGGCATAACCCAAAGAGCGATCACAGTGGTAGTGATGCCTGTCTTAGACGATGTTGATCAAATGGCATAACCCAAAAAGCGATCACAATGGTAGTGATGCCTGTCTTAGACGATGTTGATCAAATGGCATAACCCAAAGAGCGATCACAATGGTAGTGATGCCTGTCTTGGACGATGTTGATCAAATGGCATTACCCAAAGAGCGATCACAATGGTAGTGATGCCTGTCTTGGACGATGTTGATCAAATGGCATAACCCAAAGAGCGATCACAGTGGTAGTGATGCCTGTCTTAGACGATGTTGATCAAATGGCATAACCCAAAGAGCGATCACAATGGTAGTGATGCCTGTCTTAGACGATGTTGATCAAATGGCATAACCCAAAGAGCGATCACAATGGTGGTGATGCCTGTCTTAGACGATGTTGATCAAATGGCATAACCCAAAAAGCGATCACAATGGTAGTGATGCCTGTCTTAGACGATGTTGATCAAATGGCATAACCCAAAGAGCGATCACAATGGTAGTGATGCCTGTCTTGGACGATGTTGATCAAATGGCATAACCCAAAGAGCGATCACAATGGTAGTGATGCCTGTCTTAACTTAAATTAACTATTTAAAACCTTGGTTCTTTGGGAATGGTTTATGCAATTTTAAGACGCATATATATAAAGCGGAAGCACCCCCATCTGACGTCATCAGTCGCGCCAGAGGTGTAAACATGTATGTCGTTTTGTGCCGGTGCGAGCGTACCGAGCTGATGACTCACAATGGTAGTGATCCCTGTCTTAGACGGTGTTGATCAAATGGCATAACCAAAGATCACAGTGGTAGTGATGCCTGTTTTAGACGATGTTGATCAAATGGCATGACCCAAAAAGCGAATCACTAGACAAGCTAATTTTCGTATAGTTCGAATCGCTTCGACACTTACAAAAGCAACTCAACTTTCATTGAATTGGAACAGGTTGGTTTACAATTTTACTTAGATCATTTTCATTATATTCCTTCAACATTACTTATTACTCAAATATAATTTTATCGTTTTTAATTTATCCATCCTTTGACTAAAAGCTCGAATTTCCAAATTTCATATAGGAGACAGTTAGCTTTTTCAGTCCATACTAACTTGCAAAAAACATCTTATTGTGATCTTAAGATGTTTGACTGTCGCTGATGATTCCTGAATGAATAAAAAATTTTATTTCTCAAGCCTCTGATATGAGTACGAACTCTTTTAAGATTTCCATCAGATGACTAGCATTTTTCAAGTCACAACAAGCGGCGCTGAATTTATTGTTAGAAGATCTATTTTGTCTTTCTTTTGACAGTGCACCATAAGTTTTTCAAAAAGTTGCAGATTTCAGCAGAACTTTGTTGTCTCTCATATTTCATTTTCAGTGCTCAGTATGTTTCCTTATTGTGGAAGAGTTTAGCCAAATCTTTGTTCGATGGATTTACTTTGTTTTTCAAATTTTTTCGTCACATGCCTCACCAAGAAAGTTGAACTTTTCCAAATATTTTCTATGAAATGCTTAGTAGATATATTTATCGCAGACAAATTGCACTAAATTGGTTTTTGGAAGTCACTCGAAAATACCGTTACTTCTTCGGACAGTCTCTATCAATAATTTTTATAACTGAGCACTTCGTTTGGAATGCGGGTGTCATTCAAACAAAAATTGTCAGTGTTTCAGCGTGAGAGTTGCAATTTTTCGAATTTCGAATGCAAAGTTTTTTTTTCAAAGAAATTGCGAAAACCGTTTTTGTTGACTCTTTACCGTTCTGCTTCCCTTTTTCAAAAGCAGTCTTTATTAATGTAATTCTGGATAAGCGCTTCATAAGACATCATTCCTAATGTATGTTACAGAGATGTATTTACGAGATCAGGAATAATAATTTTCCGTTATTTGTCAAACGCACAGTAGTAGTTATAAAAAAAAGACTGCTCAAAATCTGTTAAACAATTCTCACATTGCCGACACATTTCACAGACATTATCCGTGCCGCAAATGTCTACTACCCAAAACAAGTTAAAAAAGTGCATTTTACTTCATCATAGTTTTTACTGTGCGCCTAAAAAGTCGAAAAATCGCGTTTAAAAAAAATTATTGCATGCTATTTGAACTGATTTTGTGAGTATACGCTGTATATATAGCTTGATTTTCTCTACAGTCAAATAAACATTCTTCTTTCCAATGTTTTCAAGGTTCTCTGTTAATGCCCTTTGTAAAAAACTGAGAATATTCCAACCATCCCAGCTTTCCATGCGTCATATGCCCTTCAAATTTGAATATTTGCTTTCGCAAATTTGCATTTCTTTGCATCAACAAAAAACGTTTTTATAATGTTGCGCTCCAATCCGTTCTGATATTTACGCACGTTCTCACAAAAAAGCCCGACAGGTAAGATACCAGCTGATACAAGCTGCCTTACGAAATTTATAACTCTAAAGGCTACTGAATGCCGAAGGCGCAGAAGATTATTAGTTGGGCGGGCGCGAACGCGGCGCGCGTTTATCTTTACCGTTGTGAATCGTGCGCCTCATGCGCTCTGCGCCTATTAGAGCCGCGTTCGCGCCCAAAGATACTGCGCCTTCGTCGTGCAACAGCCTATAAAAGCTTGCATTGCAGTACTACTGAATAGTATCCCGTGACAGCAATTCGACCACACGTTATGGAAAACATAATTGCAGCGCAGGTATGACACTTTTAGAAAAATTCGAAATAATTGCGGGTTATGCATTTTCGGGGCTTCCGAAATTCCGGGAAACTTTCAGGGAACTCTTTCAAGTCAACCTTCTGAATCTGCCACTATGTCTACAAGTAGTATGACAAATCAGGTTCTGTTATTTTATGATCAGGATTTTCTTCCGAGATATCAATGTAACAGACTTCAGACACAAGCTTCACACTATAGCAAGGCCACTAAAAATTCTACAATGCTTCCACTGCCCAGTAATGATTTCATACAAAACGACCTTCGCGCCTGCTTGGCTGAGCAGGTAAAATTCATGGCAACTAATAATAAATATAAATGTTCGCAGCGATAAGTTCTAGACGGATTCACAGCAGCAGGTGGATGGAAGCAATGCCACAACTTCAATTTTGGAAGCTTCGAAAAAGCATTCAAATCTTTTTTCAACAAAAGCTGAAAAGGATGCACACAGAAGATCTACGGAAACCCAAGTTGCGCACGACCTACGTGTTGCTGTTGAAGTAGAACGAGCAAATTTGAGGAAATCCAACGAAACTGAAAGCGAGCGCAAACTACGTCTCTCAGTCAATGCAGAGAGGACCAAATTAAGGAGGTCTGCTGAAACCGAAGAGAGCAGAGCCGACCGTCTCGCTAATGCTGCAAGAATTAGGAAAATAAGGGCAGCTGCTGCTATAGAGAAGCGAGTACTGCGATCACATACGCGAGTAGATGAGATGCAAGCACAGCCTGCGCCGGCATCTCATGGAAACACTGAACAAAATCCTCGGAAGCGTCCTCGATCACAGCAATTAGCAGAAGATGATTGCGTTCCGAGTACTTCCATTCTAGATAATTCCGAACTCGTGGTTAGTTCACATTTCAGAAAGTTTCGACTACAACATGTAATTTTTTTTAGGAAAACGTTCCGGATGCAACTTCTTCATGTTTCTCCAGCAATATATCTATAGAGGAAATGGCAGATGAAGTTTCAAAAACGAAAAATTGGTTGAAGCCTTTACGTTTTGGATTCAGAGCGTAACATCGTTTGAGCAGCAAGAGAATACTAGCGCAATCCGCAACCAACTTATACTGAAAACCTCACAGATAGAAAGTGAATCGAATTCTAACAACCATGAAGTAATAATTAACTTTTTTTTTCAAATTGGTTTTGATGAGCTTTTTATGTTTGTGAGTGTAACAAACTCAGATATCTCAAGTCTACTTTTTTAAGAGCATCTTTGTGAGAACTCCAGCGATTGCGTCCACTGTATTCTTGAAGGATTTGACTGCGCAGGTATACAGCAGCAAGACCTCTTCAGAAAAGTTCAAGTGCTGCGCTTAATCCACGTTTTTTACAGGTCCCTCGCGCACTGGAAATAAACTTGAATGACGTAGATGAAAATAGTCTCAATTTCACATTTCACCGAAGTCCAGTAAGACGGCACGAAGATTGCGAGGTTATATCACTTCCCAGTGAGATCTCTTCGACTACGTACGGAACCGAGGTGAGCTTGGGTTATGCACATGTTTTGAGTTAAATTACTTAGTATTTTAAGTATCCTCCCCCAAGAACTGCGATCAGTGAGTCTTTGAACACAGCTACAGATCAGTCTGCGATTCAGGTCAGGTTATATGAACCGTTGTGCTTAATGAGTAAAGCAATGTTTTAGATGAGATTAGCTCGAGGTAATGAGCAGCGCCGGCTCAGATCGCCTCCAAACTTCGGCATAGCTTTGACTGGGATTAACATAGAGGAAAACTACTTAGGAGTTTACAACGTGAGCTGCAGTCACTGCGCAGCTCTCTATTTTCCTGGCGAGGCTAAACCTAGGAACGGTTGCTTCAATATGTGCTGCAATTTCGGAAACATCTCTTTGGATTTTTTTTCAAACTTCCCGGAGCTCTTCCTTTCCCTCTACACCGGAACGAGTGATCTCTCGAAAAACTTCCGTATGCATATTCGGTCCTATAATAGTGCCCTTGCCATGGCTTCAATGGGTGCTCAAGTGGACACTCCTCGTGGCTTCGGACCTTACTGCTACCGAATTCACGGCCAAGTATACCATTACGTCGGTCCCGCAAGACCAGAAAAAGGACTTCGTCCACTTTCGGCGGCCGCAGCGTCCGTGTCTAGTATGTATATTTGTCCATTCGGACAAATATACATACTAGACACGGACGCTGCGGCCGCCGAAAGAATTGGAAACCCAGCTAATGCAAATTGTAATGCAACTGTGATGCAACAATTAACATCGTGGTTGCACTCCCATAACAGTTATGCTGCTTCATTCAAAATGATGGGAGATGTGGCTGCGGAAGAAGAACAACGAGCTGTCATTGAAAAGAGGCAAACACCTACAATTCGCATGGTTTTTGATGACAGCGGTAGTCTGGATTGTCGTCGCTACAATGTCCCCGCCTCAAGCGAGATCGCTGTTGTCTACGTAGGTGAAGACAACGATGTTCCGGCAAGTCGCTCTCTAGCAATTCATTACAGAAGAGGCGGTTTGCAGAAAATTCGAGACATTGACGGTTGCTGCGATCCCCTAACTTACCCCTTGATATTTCCTAGAGGAGGACAGGGGTGGCATGTTGACTTGAAGAAGAATCCGAGTACGCGCATCCGAATAAGATTAACTCAGCGAGAGTTTTACTCAAACTTGCTTGCAGTGCGCCGGTCTTTCAACCCACTTCATTTTGCTGGAAAGCTTATGCAGCAGTTTGTCGTTGACGCATATGTGAAGATTGAACAAAATAGACTAAATTATGCCCGAACACATCAGACGGAACTTCGAGTCGACAGCTACAAAGGGCTTATGGATCACTTGGCTAGAGATGACACAGATGGGCCACCAGGTCAGCGGATAATCCTACCGTCTTCATTTCAAGGCAGCCTCCGCGCTATGCATCAGGCTTATCAAGACGCGATGGCCATTGTGGCAAAATATGGAAAGCCGGACTATTTCTTAACATTTACTTGCAATCCTAAATGGAAAGAGATAACTGAAAATCTGCATCCTGGCCAATGTTCCTCCGATCGACCTGATTTGGTAACTCGCGTGTTCAATCGGAAATTGGAAGTTCTGCAAGATCATTTATTCGAGAAGAAGGTCTTAGGGCGTGTGGCAGCTTATGTTGGGATCGTAGAGTGGCAAAAACGAGGTCTACCTCATTGCCATATGCTTCTCATTATGGCCGCAGATTCGAAACCAAGGACCAGCGAGAATGTCGATGCAGCAGTTCAGGCGTGTCTTCCAAGTGCCACGGACAGTCCCCGTCTTCTCAGCATAGTAGCAAGGAACATGATCCACCGTCGCTGTGGGACAGCCAATTTGAATGCACCATGCATGATAAATGGGGAGTGCTCAAAACGTTTCCCAAAAGACTTTCGAGACACAACTGACGTTGATGTAAACGGTTACCCCAACTATAGAAGGCCTAATGACGGCCGCACAATAACGATTAGAGACGAAACGTTCGACAACAGGCACGTTGTGCCTTATAATCCCTATCTGTTGCTGCTTTTGAACGCTCACATAAATCTTGAGATTTGCGGTTACGTGCAAGCGGTCAAGTACCTTTATAAGTACGTATACAAAGGTCCGGATCGAGCTGCTTTACGACTGCTGCAGCAGGATCCCATCCGACGATCTGACGAAATCAGAGCTCACCTGGACGCTCGTTACGTATGCTCACCAGAAGCACTCCATCACATTTTCATGTTCGGATGCCAATTCAAATCCGCTACTGTCTACCGTCTTCCCGTACACCTTCCCGACTTCCAAATGGTGACTTTTCAATCAGGTGGAGAACGAGAAGCAGCAGAACGCGAGGCAAACAAAGACTCCATGTTAACAGCTTGGTTCAAGCTTAACATCGAATACGAGCTTATGGAAAACGAGAACATTGTATGTGATGGTGTAGATGCTCGCAATCTTTGCTACCATCAGCTGCCTGAGCACTTCACCTTTGTGAACGCACGTAAATGGAAAAGAAGGGGAAGAGGAAATCGCCAGATTGGACGCATGTATATGGTGTCTCCTGCAGAACCAGAGAGATTCGCTTTACGTATCTTGCTCCTTCATCGAAAGAACATGCATTCTTTCGAGGACCTTCGCACTGTCGAAGGGAATGTGCATCCCACATTTTTAGATGCAGCGAGAGCTCTGGGATTTCTGCGTGACGACTCGCATTACGAGAGCTGTTTGGAGGAAGCTACTCAATTTCAAATGCCTGCGCAATTGAGGGCGTTGTTCAGTTATATGCTGGCATTCTGTGAAATTTCTAATCCACGATACTTATACGATCGCTTCAAGGCTGATATGGCTGAAGATTTTAGTCATGGGGGAGCTACAGCGTCTGATGCAGAAGCACTTGCGTACTACGATCTATATGATAAACTGCAAATACTGCGTTACGACCTTTCTGTCAGTATCACTCCACCTACACACATTCGACCGGTGCTAGAGGACCAAACTGACTACGCGTCTCACGAAAAGAAGGGCAGGGAAATGTATCAGTGCCTCAATCGGCAACAGAAGTCAACGGCAGACAGTATTCTAGCTTCCTTTGATTTGGATGCGCCTAAGCTACACTTTGTCGACGGTCCTGGAGGCAGTGGAAAAACCTATCTTTACAATGTCTTATATCATATGTTGAAGGGGAAACACAAGTCTATCATCTGTGTAGCGTGGACAGGAATTGCAGCAAATTTGTTACCTGAAGGCAGGACAGCCTGCTCAACATTCAAGCTGAATATGAGATCTGGAAATCAGGAGAGCACAATGAGACGAGAAGCTAAAGAGGCCACACCTCTAAAAGAAGCAGATATAATCATCTGGGATGAAATCAGCATGGTTTCAAAATTAGCTTTGAAGGCAGTCAGTCGTCTTTTTCAGGATCTAATGTGCAACACTGAGCATTTTGGAGGAAAAACTGTAGTCTTGGGCGGGGACTTCCGACAGGTGCTGCCTATCATAGAGCGAGGAAGGGATGCTGATATGGTTGATGCATGCGTAAAAAATAGCCAGCTCTGGGAGTTGTTTCGCATGCATAAGCTTTCAGTCAACATGAGATCCGCAGAATCTGGCTCTTCTTGGTGCAATTTTTTGATGAGAGTTGGAAATGTAGAGGCAGAAGTAGACGAAGTGGGACGAATAGAGATTCCTGCAGAAATAGTCTCTACTGGCAGTCTTATAGACGATGTTTTCGGTGATCTGTTAACAGACTTCCACAGTTTGAGTGAGCGTGCGATTCTGGCACCTCGAAATATCGATGTACATAAAATCAATGAAGAAACTTTGGATAAACTCCCAGGACAGCTTCACGAGTACTACAGTGTAGATGATGTGATCAGCGACGAACCGCAAAACGATTTTACCAGCGAATTTGTCAACAGTCTGACCCCAACAGGAATGCCTCCACACAAGCTAAGATTGAAAGAGGGCGCTATAGTCATGCTTTTGAGAAATCTTGATGTTCGCAATGGGTTGTGCAATGGAACAAGACTGATTGTCACACACTTTAGACGTTTCGTTCTGGGATGTAGATTTGCATCAGGAGATCGGAAAGGAGAATGGGCTTTAATACCACGTATCGACAACTATACAGACAAAGGTGTACCGTTTCGATTGAGAAGGACGCAGTTTCCTATTCGTTTGTCATTTGCAATGACAATAAATAAAGCTCAAGGCCAGAGTTTCACGAAAGTGGGTATCTCCCTTGAAACGGAAATATTTTCACATGGACAATTATACGTCGCCTTATCGAGATGTCGAAGCAAAGAAGGAGTTAAAGTGTATAAGAAAGAGGAAAGAGTGAGGAACGTCGTGATAAAAGCAGTCCTCAGTTAACGGCGTTCAAAGCTCAAAGATTAAATGCCGAAATCAAGATTGTGCCAGTTTGATTTGTTCCTTCACGATGCACAATTTTCCTGCGTGTTCATTGCAAGAAGGTCAACAGAGTCCGCAAGCAAGGTACGGCAAAACAAAGTCATTAAGTTTCATTAATTCACATTTTCCAGCAAACATGTACGTGTACGTGCCCATGCGCAAACAAGAGAGAAAACTCAAAAACAGTGCAGGGTGGGTTTTACTGAGTTGTGGTTCAATATTTTTTTCAATTACAGTTTATTCCGTCTACCTCATTCGCAAGCAAGATACGGAAGTCCGCAAAATCAGCGCACTTTACACGATTTGCTTCCAAACTGTAGTGTCTCTGCTCATGCAAAAAAAAAGGGAAAAACTCACCGCTCAGAAGAGTGCGCGGTGGGTTTTGTTGATGTTGATTGATAGTATTCTCTGATTCGCTTCAAAACACAAATTGCAGGTGCTCTCGCCTACAGACTTATTCATCGTACAAGTCATATGTCTTGGTAATGTAGAATTTTCGTCTTACATTTTGTCTGCTCGAGACCAGCAACGTCGGATCACGAAAAAACACTTTGCATTAAATCTGTTCTTGAATATAACAGACGCATATTTCTGATCATCTGTCGGTTTGAAATTCTTCCACCTTGATTTCTATCTCCCACATCTTGTCAAAACTTACACATGCATAACTATTTAATTTCCCTATAAACACTTCTAAGGCCACAATACTTTTGACACGTCCCACTCCACACACACAACCAGTCCAAAGCGCCGCGAAGCGGCGCTTTGGACTGGTAATAATATATGATATATTAGGTTGTCCGGAAATTAATGTCTGTTTTGAATTTCAACCGCAATAAGTCATATACTTTTCATTACTGGATAGCTTTCAAGGTACCGTTCGATAGAGCAAAGCAAGCTCTACAAGATGGCTTTCTTGCTTTAACAACAGCTCTGATCCACCTCGAGTTTCGAGCCAAAAACTAAAAAGATTCAACTGCCCGAAAATTCAAGAAAAATCATAATTCATTCGTAAGAATTCTACAAAAATTCTAACTTGCTCAGGTAAGCACTATCCACATAAGACATATATGTACGCTATTGCCGTGTTTGTTCCTCTGTTAGAAATCGAAAAAACGAAAATTTCCGTGTTTTTGCAAAAGTGATGCTGTGTTGTCCCCACATAAGTAAATGTATACTACAAATCTGTAGAAGTAAAAACGTGGATTTTCAGCTTTTTACAAGCTTTAGTTCTCGAGAAATTTGAATTTTAGTTTGGACCACCTGACTGATGGAAGCTATATTTGATGTTTATTGAGAACTAAAGCTTGTAGAGAGCTGTAAATTTACGTTTGTACTTCTACAGATTTGTAGTATGCAACTACTTATGTGGGAACGACACAGCATCACTTTGGCAAAAGCATGAACATTTTCGTTTTTTCGACTTATAACAGAGGAAAAAATACGGCAATAGCATACATATATGTCTTATGTGGATAGTGTTTACCTGAGCAAGTTAGAATTTTTGCAGGATTCCTATGAACTGAGTTATGATTTTTCTCGATTTTTCGGGAAGTTGAATCTTTTTAGTTTTTGGCTCGAAACTCGAGGTGGATCAGAGCTGTTGCTAAAACAAGATAGCCATCTTGTAGAGCTTGCTTTGCTCTATCAAATGGTACGTTGAAAGCTATTCAGGAATGAAAAGTGTATGACTTATTGCGGTTGAAATTCAAAACGGACATTAATTTCCGGACAACCTAATACTATATATTAGGTCGGTGCAAAAGTTTTGTCAGTTTTTAATCCATCGGCAAACACGCTAGAATGAAGATAAACAAACACTTCAAAATGTATCCGATGCAGAATTTCTTCGTCTTTTCAGACTCTAAGCTCTCATTGCGTTTCGTTGCGAGAGTTACGAGGTATTTGCTGGAAATTACAATCACTCGTTTTTACCATGTCCAACTTTCGCTAATTTTCAAAATTTTTGTATGAGACCTTCGGATGAGCCCTAATAAGCAGCAGGAAGGGCAAACCTTTTGCCAACTTATGCAATTTTTTGTAGCCCTACGGCTTGCCTTTCAGAATTTTTACGATTTATTTTTTGAAGTGACCAAATTTTACATTTAGCGTATTTTAACCTCGTAAAACCTAAAATGTTGAACACTTCAGTCACCATTCGATTTAGTTTTTTCTCCTCCTTCTAACACTTGTCTTTTTTGCCGAGACAGGCGAAGTTTGTGGGGAAATCGCAGTATTTCTCAGTTTTAGGAATGCGCACTGCCATAACCTATGTTTCAAAATCTTCTTAATTTGGAGCGAAAATCGCTCATGTACTTTCTAATGGTAGCGGTAGTAATATTCGAGTGTTGAACCTTAGCATTGTAGGTTTTGCAGTGTTTTGGTGCAATAACAGGTTATGCGATTTTTCCAAAACACAAGACTTTTAGAAAATTATTTTGCAAAAATCTGAAAAAGCAGCTGAGACAAAGAAAAAAATTGCACAAGTTGGCAAAAGGTTTGCCCTACCTGGTGGTTATCAGGGCTCCTCCGAAAGTTTCATACAAAAATTTTGAAAATTAGCGAAATTTGGACATGGTGAAAACGAGTGGTTGTAATTTCCAGCAAATATCTCGTCACTCTCGCAACGAAGCGCAATGGGAGTTTAGCTGCTGGAAAGAAGAAGAAATCCTGCATCGGATACATTTTGAAGTGTTTATTTATCTTCGTTCTAGCGTGTTTGCCGATGGATTGAAAAACTGACAAAACTTTTGCACCAACCTGATATATTGATCATATACTATAAACTATAGTAGTGACCATATTGATAGACTAGAGGATAAAATGAAACATGTTAGTGTTTTTGTAGTTGGTTATTTATTATGATGTTAGTTGATAGACTACTTTACTAAATTGGTTGCTTGTAGTAGACGTGTATTGAAATAACTATACTGATTAATGATATGTGCTATTGATTAGGATTGTATGGAATAGCTTAATTGAAGACTGGTATACGACATATAATACATTAATTAACTATATATTGTGTAAATTTTGTAGAATGTGTAATAATCTTTTAATTTTATCGTAATTGTAAAAAATTCGTATTTATATAGTATAAATATTCTTATGTAAGCATTTGAAAATATTTGTATAAATCATGTTTTCATTGTATCCATTGGAAATAAGTGTTCGTAATTGTAGTATTTTTTGACAAAATCGTCAAGATAAGTGCAAATACGGGCAACTCTTAAAGTTTCTGTGTAAACAATTGTGTTTTTGATGTGATTGGATACACTAGAAGTGATGTGTATAAATCTTTTTACTTGAGAAGGGAAACTATCAGTTTTGTTATACATTTTAGTTGTGATTCTGTTATTAATGATTGTAATATGTAAGTCAAAATAATTGCAATGTAAATTATCTATATGAGTAGTTTCCAAACTTAGTTTGTTATCATATACGTTTTTGATTATATTAGGTCATTCCGAAAGTAATTTCGCTTTTTTCAAACGGACTCCACATACGAGGAAACAAAGGTTTCTAAGAGTTCTTGGTAGCATTCGATGCAGAATTTCATTCTCTTTCTAATGGTTATGTAAATGCTACAAAACTATTAATGAGCTCTCAGAAAATAACCAAAACCTGTAACCCATGCCTTTTGAGATAATCAAGTTTTATGATTTTTTAAAACCTTTATATCAGTAATCAGAAGGAGATCAAGTAACGATTCGGTAGAGTAAACTTTATAGAAAAAAGCACTACTTTTTTCTCTTCCTCGTATCTCGCCGTAATTTTTTAAGAGATTTTTAAACAGAACCATCGGACCTTGGCAGGCCCACCTCAGCCACAATCGCATCAAACATCATAATTTTTTGGAATTTGAGACTACCAAAATAGTACTATGAGTTAGCATAAATTTTACAAAGCATGTGAGGGTTTTTGGGTTCGAAATATCAAATTTCGAGTTTTTCGGGTACAGCATGAAGCTCGCTAAACAAATAAGTTATGATGATTTCATCCCCGAAAACTAAACAAATCGGAAACAAAAAACACCTGTTAGAAAGTGGAGAAAATGCTGCATCGAATAGTGCGCGAGCTGCTCTTCTTTCTATGTTCTACGAGGATTTAGCTGCCCAAGTATGGAAATCGGTAGCATCAGTTAAAATTCTGTAAAAAATGTATGACAAGCTATGGAAAGGAGAAAAAAGTAGTACTTTATCCATAAGGTTTACTCTATAAAGTGGATAAAGTACTACTTTTTTCTCCTTTCCATAGCTTGTCATACATTTTTAACAGAATTTTAACTGATGCTACCGATTTCCATACTTGGGCAGCTAAATCCTCGTAGAACATAGAAAGAAGAGCAGCTCGCGCACTATTCGATGCAGCATTTTCTCCACTTTCTAACAGGTGTTTTTTGTTTACGATTTGTTTAGTTTTCGGGGATGAAATCATCATAACTCATTTGTTTAGCGAGCTTCATGCTGTACCCGAAAAACTCGAAATTTGATATTTTGAACCCATAAACCCTCACATGCTTTGTAAAATTTATGCTAACTCATAGTACTATCTTGGTAGTCTCAAATTCCGAAAAATTATGATGTTTGATGCGATTGTGGCTGAGGTGGGCCTGCCAAGGTCCAATGGTTCTGTTTAAAAATCTCTTAAAAAATTACGGCGAGATACGAGGAAAAGAAACAAGTAGTGCTTTTTTTCTATAAGGTTTTCTCTACCGAATCGTTACTTGATCTCCTTCTGATTACTGATATAAAGGTTTTAAAAAATCATAAAACTTGACCATCTCAAAAAGTATGGGTTGCAGGTTATGGCTATTTTTTGAAAACTCATTGATTGTTTTGCAGCATTTACATAACCGTTAGAAAGCGAACGAATTTCTGCATCAAAAGCTACCAAGATCTAATATCTTCGTTCTATCGTCTGTGGCGTCCGTTTGAAAAAAGCGAAATTACTTCCGGAATGACCTAATATTATGAATTGTAGGTTCAGTGCGATAGTGTATGATTAATAGATCATCCATATAACGAAATGCAAAAAGGTGTTTATTGTTATTTACTTTATCAACTATATACTTGTATTCATACATAGTGTCAGGTCTGCTAACAATGGACTAAAATATAAGTCTTACACTCTAACTTCTCACGGCGATCATGCAATTCACATTTTCAATGGGAGATCAGGGTACCATTCGATAGAGCAAAGCAAACCCTACAAGATGGTCTGCAAAAGTTCGTCCCAACTTCGACCCACTGTAATTTGCATCCAAAATGTGAGTCGTACTGAAGGCTCAGAGAATCGCGAAAAATTCATATCATCGTTC